GGATATATGTGACTGTGGGGGTATGCATGTTCTAGAATACATACAGAAGCCACAAGTTGCAATCTTCCAACTTTCTGTGAATTTCAGTGAGCAAACTCAAAGTTATCAGGTTTGAAAGGATACTTTGATCCACATAGCTGTTTTGCTGGACCTCCTATTACAGCATTATAGTCAGTCAACTTATTCCAGGGAGCTTCAGTACACAGTTTGTTTTTTTAATGTTGTAATGTAATAAAACATAAAAAAACTTGTTCCCATAAGATCACCAACCATTCTTCCACAATCTTGATCTTGATTATAATATTTATGGAACTATGTCCAAGTTTATGAGTTAGCATATATATTGGAATTTTTAGATTCAAGGACAAACAAGCCTTCATTGTAGAACACATGAATGTAAGGGAAGTCTGTTCCCCTAGGAAAGAAGGCTACCCTACTTTTCTGAGTGTAATATTCTCTGTTATGTGTTTTAACTTTGTGATGCTATAGCTTCTTCAAACTCAAGTTATTTCTATGAATTATTATATTTCATAATCATAATCACAATTCTTATTTATGGTTTCAGTTATACTGCCATAACTATTTTGTATACTGAGAACAGAGTGTGGTAAAGTAGTTTTTCAATGTGTAATATCCCATGAGTTGGATATATTCTCTGGACTTAAAATATGTGGTTTTAATCAGTAGTAGTAATAGGTACATAAGTATCCAGCACACTATATTTTATGACTCAAGGAAAACAGGAGACTGAAGGATTATAAATCAGATTTCTCACTATATATTCATGTTGTAAGGAAAATAGTGCTGTTGTGTTTTTTATTTTCCAACATTGAAAAGACGAAATTTGCTTCATGAATCAAAGTAAGAAAGCACTTCAAAGACTTCAGAATTCTGTGTTTGAAGCAAAACACAATTTGAGTTTTTATTCTTGAAAGATTGCATTGGTTTTGTTTATTGATAACAGTGTAGTAAGAAAAAAAACCCTTGGAAATATTATCTCATGGTTTCTTCAATAACTGAAAGCTTGCCAGTTACCTAGGAATATGCTGTTAGTTAACTGGATCATCACTGTGATGTTAACTTCATGGTACATTTATGAAAATAATGAATAAATAAAAATGAAAACTTCAAAATATCTTTAAAATTTCTTGCACAAGGAAAACCCACGTATCATAACCTGTTTCTGAAATGGGTCATTATTTTTCCTGAAATCAATTGAACTGGATAAAGAATGAAGCATCACAAACACATATGAAACTATAGTACAATTTAGTGGTGGTAATTATGATGAGAACACTGAATTTGCTGATTTTTTCACTCAATATAAGATATTAATAAACTTGACATTTTAAAACCTTGACCAAATTTTACCATCTCCTACTACAAAAATTTATAATATATAGTTTATAAATATTCTTATTTATATATCCTAAATAGCATTTGGACATAGAAAATCTAGGTACAATATCATATGAAGCTGAGAAATGAAAGACAGAAAGTTTAGACATGTCTTGAAAACTAAAAATATCTCTCATCCCAAAGGAAATTAATAGATTAAGAATAATGGTACAGTTGGGGATATTAACACGTCTTCATGCGATTTTCTGTGTCTGAAAATCCTTCACTGAACTGTCCATTATGGCAGACAATAGCACCATTATGAAAAATATACTTACATGAACACAATATCAAAATAAGGAATGACAAGAAGACATTATAAAATATTAAACTAAATGATAAAGTAAGACAAAAGTCATCTTATATATTTTTATTAAGAAAATAAGAGCACAGTTTAATGTAATTATGCTAGAAGATTAAGATATATAAAAGGTAAATCTCAATAACCATATTTTACTTTTGTACCCCCAGATTAAATAATACTACTTGTTTTAACAGATACCTCTTTTTAATTAATTTGTTTGTTTATTGTTCTCTCATATCACACATACCTAACATAGCCTCCCCTCCTTCCACTCCTCATAATTCCCCACCCTCACCTCCCATCTCCCTGAGAACTCTGTTACCATTTCGGCCACCCTATGATATCAATTAAGCATGGAAAATAAGATGAAATAAGACTAGGCAAAAACCTTATATTCAGGCTGTATGAGGTAACCCACTAGGAGAAAAAGTCT